TCCTGGATTAGAATAAAATAAATAAATACGAGCTGATGCATTAAAAAATAAATAAATAAATAACGAAATAAATAATAAACAAAACAAATAGGGCAGAAGGGATAGCTCATCCTTAAACAATAATTCCAATTAATACGTGCAAAACAAATAGGGGAAACATAAAGTAACCATTACAACATCACAGTTATAAGTTGTTGCAGGCAAGTTTCTTTGACAGACAGACGCAATGCTTAGAATAGAAGGTAAAAGTTTCAGAAAAAACAGTGTATTTAAGTAATCCCCATGAACCCCAACAAGACAGTCATAAATTACACAGAAAAATGTAACTTTTCAGGGGATAAACCTAGTACACTCTACATGAACCAAGTTACCGTAGTTAAAAACCACAAGAAGTGACATGTCGACATCACACACCTCCTGATATATCAAAATGCAATGTAATCATGAGAAAGCATGAGGAAAATCCAAATTGAAAGAAATACTATAAAATACCTGAACACTATTCTTCAAATGGGTCAAAGTCATGGAAGGCAAGGAAAGACTAAAGAACTGCCACATATGGGAAGAGACTACGGAAACATGAAAACTGAATACAAAATGTGATATTGGAACAGAAAAAAATAATGAAAGAAAATTAGTAGAAAAGAATGATGAAATCTGAATACTCTGTAGTTAATTAATACTATTATACCAGTGTTAATTTTTGATAATTGCACTATGGTTACTCAGGATGCTAAATTTAGAGAAAGCTAGGTGAAAGATATGAGAACCCTCCGTAATATTTTTAAGAGCTTTATTGAAAATAACTTATATGTGATAAAGTTCAACCTTACAATGTACAATTCAATGGCTTTTAGTATCAAGTTCCGCAAACATGGCCATAATCTAATTTTAGAACATTTTCATCCTCCCAAATAGAAACTTTGTACTCATTAGCAGTCATTCCCTATTTCTCATCTCCCCTCCCAATACTGTAATATTTTTGCAACTTTTCTATAAGCCTAAAATTATTTCAAAATAATATAAAAGTAATTATATTACATTGACATAAAGTTTATATATATATACACATACAAACTATGACACACTACAGAATGGCATATAAACAAAACAGGAAAATGAAATTCATGTGTTCTACAGTTCTTGAATTGTCTCTCTTACATAATGATGTATTTTATATTTAGGTTTTGTCTCACCTGGCCAGTTCTTTTATTAAATTTGCAATGCGTCTTTTGTCTTCAAGACATAAATCCTTCAGTGATGCACTCCTTACCTTACAGAAATTCTAAAACAGAAAAAAACCTTTTGGTTAACATTTGCTGAAAACAATTTTTAAGACTTTTCAAGAAATCTATTAAAATAACCACAGGAGGTGAAATTTCTTAGATATCTTTTATCTTGTGAAAACACTACTTCTTTGTTTCATTTAAAACTGAACTCAGGGCCGGCCGAGTGGCGCGATGGTTAAGAACTGGCTTGAGACGCCAGAGGGCCCCGGTTCGGATCCCACATATGAGGGACAGTTACACTGCCCTCCACAGCTAAGATGCTGAACAGCAGCTCAACCTGGAGCTGGGCTGCTGTGAATCGCAGGCGACAGCACAGGCTGCAGCCCCTATGGCAGTGGGTTGCCATGGGCTACCGTGTGTAGCCAGCAGCCAGCGTGAGCGGCTAGCAGCCGCAGTGAACGGCCGTCCAGAAGCCGGCGACTGATCTGCCTTGCCCGGGAAGAGCGCAATGATGGTGCCAACTTGGGCCAGTGAAGCAACGTCCTCCAC